CACCCCCACCCCCACCCCGGTGCCTCCCCCCCCATCTCATCCCAGGAGCAGACACTTACAAAGTCATCTGACCACCGCTCCTCTTCATCTGCAGGGCTGTCTGTAACAGGAGAGGGACATAGAGCAAAAAGCGTGAGTCCAGCTGCCCAGACCCACCGGCACCAATGCTGTCTCCTCTTCTGTGGGCCTCTTGACCTTGAACAGTAACTGCTGCCATATAGTCATTCACTCTTGCTCTCTTTCTCAGAAAGCTTACTTAAATCTCAAAGCATAAGGAGAAGTCCTGTAGGAGCAGAGCAATGGGGCCCTTTACCTGGGCCTTTAACCTTTGTTAAGGGACATTACTGAAATATTATTGTCTTTTTTTTTTTTTTTAAATAAACTCCATGACTGTCAGGTCCAAAGGGTAGCCCATTCCCCTCCAAAAGGGCAGGTCAACTAACTCAGTCCAAAACTGAGTATAGCTCAGCTCAAACTGGACTGTAGGGGGAATTTCTGATAGTTGGATAAAAGCCAGCATTCCTCAAGAACTTGTGAAACTGGCTCCCATTTGCTAAAAGGAGTCATTTCCCTTACCTTTGACAGAAGGGACAATAGGTCTCTAATGACCTGCTGTATATCAAAGCCCATGCTGGCTTCCAGCCTTTTACAGTCCCTATTCACAAGTACTTGTTATACATTTCAAAGCCCCTATCCTGGCCCTTCTCACCTCAGATCCCCACTCTTTGTTACCCCAAGGCTATCCTATCCTGTCCTATCCTATCCTATCCTAATCTCTCTCTCTCTCTCTCTCTCTCTCTCTCTCTCTGTGTTCTGTGTGTGTGTGTGTGTGTGTGTGTGTGTGTGTGTGTGTGTGCACTCCTGCCTTCTCTCCCAGACTGCCCACAGCCCTGCTCTCTGCTCTGAACTCTTTCAGAAGCCACTATTTTCTCTTTCTTACACACAACACAACAAAACCCGTCCCCTTAGCCATACCATGGAGAGGTTGTGTTGGCAGTTTCTTCACTGCACCCCCTTGCATACAATGAGCAAAAGCAATTTGGAAGGGAAGGCCTTATTTGGCGCAATCACAGTCCATCATTGAGGGAAGTCAGGAGAGGAACACAAGGCAGGAGCCAAAGCGGAGGCCATGGAGGACAGCTTACAGGCTTGCTCTCTGTGGTTCACTGAGCTTGCTTTCTTATACACCCAGGGGTGGCTCTACCTACAGTAGCCTGATCCCTCCTACCTCAGTCATTAATCAAGAAAATGACCCACAGCCATGCTCTTAGGCCAATCTGATGGAGGCAATTCCTCAAGCAGATTAAAAGCTCCAGAGAGCAGCGCTGGAAATTGACAGGGTCAGGATTTAGTGTGGAGACTGAGGAAGGGACCTGGAGAAGCTGGCTGGGAGAGGTGCTTTTAGCCCAATCACTTAATGCCTCAAGAACTCCCTTTGCTCGGGTGTGCGTTCATCTCTCCACAGGATTGTCATGGGGCCCATGGTCTTGGCTCAGTCATGGTCTTGCTGTGCAATTTTGGACAGTTTTTTTTTTGTTTGTTTGTTTTGTTTTTTTTTTTTGTTTTGTTTTGTTTTGTTTTGTTTTTGCCTCTCTGGCTCTACCTGTCTTGGAAGCTTAGACTGAATGGTGTTCCAGTCCTTTCCAAGTTTTAAAAGTACGGTGAGCCCAAGTTGTGTTTCTCCATTCTTAGTATGGAACACCAGCACTGAGTAGAATGCTCTCTCATGACAGTTTTGTCCGTTTCCACCAGGATGAAGGTAAACAGATATAGAGCAGCAAGTGATGGCAGCTCCACTCAGGACAGCGGGACAGGGCACAAGCAGTGTCAGGGCTCATTTCTCCAGGGGTGAAGGGTAGCTGTGTAGACTCTGGGTGTCTGTGGCAGGCCATACCTGAGAGCCCTTCCCTTTCTCTCCATTGTCCTCTCCTCTCTTTCTTTTAAACATAGTCATATTATTTTATCATTACCTAATAGGGTGTGCATGCCTATGTCGCATATATATAGACCAGAGGCAGCCATGAGGTATTGATCTTCGCCCTAGTTTTTGTTTTTGTTTTTTGTTTTTCGAGACAGGGTTTCTCTGTGCAGCTTTGGAGCCTATCCTGGAATTCACTCTGGAGACCAGGCTGGCCTTGAACTCACAGAGATCAGCCTGCCTCTGCCTCCCAAATGCTGGGATTAAAGGCGTGCGCCACCAACGCCTGGCCTTCGCCCTAGTTTTTAAGACAGAGTCTGACATTGTTTCTGCTAGGCTGGCTGGCCAGGCATAAAGCCATGACCAGGCTTTAGGTGAATTTTGGGGATTTGAATTCAGATCCTTTTGTTTTCACAGCAAGCACTGTATCCACTGGGCGCCTCATTAGCCCCAAATGAATTAGTTTTAAATAAAAGTTATTTTAACTGATACATGAAAGCATAAAAATGTATACAGTTCAATAGGTTAATATGTGGTATTTCGATATGCATATCCATTGAATGTTTAAAGCAGGGTAAACACACCTGTCTCTTCAAAGGGGACTTTCAGCACCTCTCTTTAGTTATTGGAACTCATTAGACATTGTTCTCTCTAACCATCTGTGAAATAGCACACTGGCACTCCATGCTCCCACCGGACCCATTGCCCAGCCTCCTTCACCACACCCTTGCCAGCTTCAGGTAACAACCACTCTGATGGTCCGTGTCTCAGTTCCATTTGGTTTGTGAGAAGAAGCCCCATGATAGATTTCACATGCAGCATGAGAATGGGCTGGGTTTGTTTATCTGTGCCTGCCTTCACTTGGCATAGTGACCTTCCAACTCCACCTGGGGTTACAAATGACAAGATTCCATTCTTTCAATGACTGAATAGTATTCCCTTGTGTGTGGGCACCACGTGTCCCTTATCTACTCATCAGCACGGAGACTCAGGTTGTTTCCCTGGCTCAGCAGTGAGCACAGGAGTGAGTGCAGATATCTCTTTGGCTTGTGATTGCCTTCATTTGGCCATTCACTGTGTGGCAGGATTGCCGGATTACAGTGAAATTCTAGTTTCATTCTTTAGGGGAAGCCTCTACTTTTTCACCATTTCTCAGTCCCCTCCCTGCATGACCTCAGTAGAACAGGGTTAGTACTAGGCAAACTTCTGTGGGTGGATGGTGGTGTCTCCTGAGATTCCATGGAGATCAGGGACAGAGGGTACAAGTAGAGAAGCCTTGTTCAGATCTGATGGGAAGGGGGGGTTGTGGAGTGACCAGAGGGTTTCTGCAGTGACCCCCTAAAACCGGGGGCCCTTCCCTTGGAGGTACTCTTTATTTGCAGAACTGAGACAGACCCCCCCCCACCCCGTGTCTGTCTGTCTGTCTGTCTGTCTGTCTGTCTGCCTGCCTGCCTGCCTGCCTGCCTGCCTGCCTGCCTGCGTGTCTCTGTAACCTTTGAGGTCTTTGGACACTCCCTGCGTTGAGAAGCTTTGGGGCTGACTTCCGAGACTGTTCAGGCAGTTGAATAGGAGTCCCAAGACACAGGGGAGCAGTTGGAAATGTCCCTGGGACACGAGCAGCTGGGGTGGGGGAGGACAGGGCAGGGAGGGACACAAATGCAAGTGTTGACTTTTTTTTTTTTTTTCCAAAAGGAGCAGGAGTGTGAGCAGGCCCTGTTGGCGAAGTGCACAGGACTGATTTCTAAGATTGGGAACTTGAATGGATTTGGTTTAAAACAACTTCGTTTCTCCTTAATATGTGGGCGTTCATGCTAAATCTGACTCAGTAGCTGTGTGGCAGGGCTAAGGCTATGTATGTCTAACAAGCTCCCAGCTGGCTGCTGCCGCCATACTAGAGATCAATCAGACTGTGGAGCAAGCCACGTCTCTGTGTTCCAAGAGATGCTGATATACTGACATCAAGGCTATGTGGAAGGACTGGGGCTGTAGCTCAGTGGTAGAGCATCTGAGGCTTTGAGCCACAGCACTGTGTAAGAAAACTAAATGGAGCATTTCAGGAAGAGGTCAGGTGTTTGAGGTCCAAGAGAACACTTTTGGATGTCCTGCAGATGGGAAGACATGCATTCCTAAATCCAGGGAATGTCAGACAGGATTGCTGTAGCATCAGGACCCCGGGTCCAGAATCTAGCAGAACTCCCTTCCTCAAATGACAAGAATGAAATGAAGGACGATGCCCATAGTTACACAGCCAGTTAGTGGCTACATGTGAGGGGGCCTTGTCACTGGGCCCTATGACCTGGGGCTGCACTCTGGTGAGATGGGATGAGAGTTAGCAATGAAATTAGATGTCGAGGGCCACTTAGAAGCTCTGTCCAAGGACAAGCAAGAGATGAAGAGGGGGCTGAGCTGTATCCATGGCAACAGAAAGAAAGGATACTTGAAGGCTGGAATCAGTGGGATTCAGAGGAAGATTCACTCCTCCTGCAGAGGACTAGGAAGAGTAGGAATTAACAATGAGCCCCTTGGCATGTGGTTTAGGCAAAAGGATGAAAGTGTGGTGGATCTTTTCTGCCTTTCACCAAGGAAGAAAGTGGAGAGGAGGAGGCCATGGGGAAGGACTGAGCAAGCAACAGTGAGGAGAGGGTTAGGCTTCTGAGAGCTGACTGAGGTACAGCATCTGCATCTGTCATCTCTAATACTGTTGGTTCATCTGTGAGGGGCAGAAAAGCTTGCCATTTGTCCCCTAGCACTTGAATTAGATGTCACCTCCTCAGAGACTTTCCCAGACTGCCTAAGTTGTCCCCCATCTACCACGACTCTTTGCCACTGTGCCCTGCCAGTTTCTTCTATTTTTTCATAGCAGCCATCATGCTTGGGAAATTATTATTATTATTATCATTATTATTTTGATTTTTTGAGACAGGGTTTCTCTGTGTAGCTTTGGAGCCTATCCTGGCACTCGCTCTGGAGACCAGGCTGGCCTCGAACTCACAGAGATCTGCCTTCCTCTGCCTCCCGAGTGCTGGGATTAAAGGCGTGTGCCACCAACACCCGGCAGGAATTTTTTTAAAAAATGTGTGTGTGAAGGCAGATGTGTGTAAAAACAATCTTGGAAGTCATTCCTGGCCTCATCTTGTTTGAGGCTCTTGATCATTTCTGTGTAAGCTAAGCTAGTTGACCCACGAGCTTCTGGGAATTCTGCTTCTGCTTCTCCCCTCTTGCCACAGGAGTGCTGGGATTGCAGGCTGCTACAGCACTCATGCTACCTTATGTGGCTTCTGGGGACTGGAACTCAGGTCCTCACACTTGTGTGGCAGGCCCTTTACCCACTGCCACACAGGACAAACTCATGATGTATTTGTTGAGTGGGTCAAAGCTGAAGCACCTGGAGATGCTTGTTTTACAGAATAAACTGTTCAAGTGACATCCATTCTGAATTATCTGCTTTGATGTCTTTGAGATGTCCAAGCTTGTACTGAGTGGCTATTAGGAGATACAGGAGAGCCTTACATCCAGTCAGGGCTGCCCTTCTCTTGGGGATCAGGCAGGCTTTGGAAACTGTCACTGGAGATGGCCTCATTTGTGAGGGTACTGATGGTGGGGGTAAGGATAAGCCCAGGCTGGATGTTGGGCTGAATCACCTCTAGCACTCCTCTTAAACAAAAGAATCCATCTTTCCATGATTTTCCCATCATACCTGTCTGAATACTGAAAAGGTTAGAGTTGTTTCCCTTTTCCATCATTGGAGAGAAGGACGACTTGTTCCCATTTAGCTATGCTTGGGAACAGGTTTCCTTGACCTGTGAATCAAGTAGATTTTGAAATACAAAATGCCTATTTCTTAGTTCCAAGCTGCACAGGAATCCCATGGCTATCTGTCTGAATTTGCTGAAAGCTTGACAGCGTGCCGTTGTATTCCAGACAAAGGTGTTGACTATTTGACTTTGATTACCATTTCTATAAACTACCGATCTCAAGCTTAGCCTTGTTGTGGCCAAAGTTGGTTCTATTGAAATGAAGCTGTGTATGTACAGGTGTGTGAGGAGTTCAGGGGTAGATATTGAGTCTACTCCTCAGGACCCCTCCCCCACTTTTGAAAGAGTCTCTCACTGGAAATGGTTACCCAGCAAGACGCAGGGATTGGCCTGTCTCTGTCTCACCAGTGCTGGGACTATATGTGAATGCTATCATGCACAAGTTTTTGTTTGCTTTGTTGAGACAGGGTTTCTCTGTGTAGCCTTGGCTGTCCTAGAACTACCTCTGTAGATAAGGCTGGCCTCAAACTCATAGAGTTCTGCCTGCCTCTGCCTCCTGAATGCTGGGATTAAAGGCATGCACCAACATGGCCCAGCTCTCGCCCAGTTTTTTTGTGCAGTTTCTTGGGGTCAAATTTTGGTCTTCATGCTTGCATATCAAGCAAGCACTTTACTGACTGATCCATCTCTCTGATTCCTTAAACAGCTTTTATGAGGATAGATTAGTCCCTACTTCCATGTACTGCACAGGGCTGGGCTTTCTTACTACATGAAATTGTAGATATTTCTAACATCGTCTTCCCTTTGGGGCTATCAATTCCATGGCAGTGGGAACTATATTTCACTTGTAAGAATGGCACTTCTATTTACCTTGTATATGCCAGGTACATGGTATGTGCATGATAATAGCTGCATAGACACATGGATGGATGTATACATGGACAAATGGATGCTGAATGGGTGGATGGGGAGATGGATGGGTGAGTGAATGGGTGGGTAAAGTATATTTTCACTGTAGTGAAAGGCCTCATTCTTAAAATCAGGCTGAGAATTGTTTTCTATGGGGGACCAAAATAGTTCCTTTATGGAATGTTTTGAGGTCCAGCCTCCAGTTTCACTAAACAGGAGCACCCCAAAGCTCCGAACCACTATTGTATTGCTAATGCCAGCAGGCCTACTATGGTTTACCATGACCTCAGGATACAAAGCCTCCTAGTTTGCATCTCTATGGGCCTAAGCATCTGACTAGGCCTGCACCTGGGTGGAAGGGCCAGGAGTGTAACATGTGAGGACAGAGGGTTAGGAGCCATCTAGCAGAGAGGAGAAGAGGAGGACAGAAATGGTCTTCTCATGGCCATGGAAGCATGGTTAAGAAACAGCCGAAAAGATGGTAAATAAAGAAGAGACTCTAGTTTTACAAAATGGAAATGAGTGCTCTCTAAAGATGACAAGATGCCTGTGTTTAGTCTTTATCGCCGCTGGGTTGCTAGGAGTTTCCAGGTCCACACACACCCACTCAGGCCGAACCTCATGGCTTAAGGCTGAGACATGCCGGGTCACGACAGTTTTCAAATAAGTACAACATATTTCCTTCCCCAAGAAATAAATATGAACATTAGACAAAAGCCAGCTAATGTAGTTTAGAAATTATCTTACCTAATGCATAGTCCCTTCGAGGAACACTTGGAGGTCCTTTGACTTTTAGCCTGTAGATGAGAACCAGGAGAACAAGGGTCAATGGGTAGGACAACTGTTGTCAAAGCTCACAGCACAAACCAACACCAAGATAAGAGATAGATAACTACTAGAATATCTTCTGGGCCTCTCACACTGAGAATTCATTGTATTGTAATCAAATGAAGCCAGGATTCTCCATGGTGCACTGGGAGCCTATGACTTGGCTCAAGTTAGACTGAGCCATGGGAGGGCTTTGTGAGGCCCAAAGACTAGTTAACACTGCATTCAATGATTCAAGGAAGGTCAGTGCTCATTGGCTGATGGGAGAGTAAGAGAAGATGAACTGTGTTTTAATGGTTCAAAAATGCTTTCTAAAAGGGGACAAAATCATCAATAATAAGTACTTTGCTCACAGGTTGAACAAAAAATCATTTTGTACCATTTAAAAACATGACCTATGGGGCCTAAGCTATGGCTTAGAGGTAGATCATTTGCCTATCAGGTGTAAGGCCCTAGGTTCAATCCCCAGCATTAGAAAAAGAAACGAAACAATACCCATAACAAATAGGCAAGCATCATCTCAAAATGGAAGGTTGGTAGTAACTTACTAATTAATAATAGTTACCCATTTTACTTAAGAGTGGTATCCTTAATGAAATTTAAAGTACACACAGATAAAACTTATATCCAGTAGCATTTAATTACTAAAATATTACTTCCTTTTACAGAAGCAATATATATGGTAATAATTATATATATTTATTTTATTTTCAAAAAATCAACATAGGAATTTATATTTTATTTTAGAAATATACAAAGCCCCTTAAAAGCCAAAATTGTATATTACAAAAATAACAATATTTGGTTTTGTATAAGAATCCTAGGTTTTCCATCACAGGCTCTCCTGTCTAGGTTTGCATCCCGTTCTCATCATATGCTAACAATTTTCATCAAAATAAACTCATAGTGAAGTCTAGAAAGAGATTAACTAAAGGGCTGCAGGGAAGAGCAACAGGAAAGAGGGGGCCTGATGTCCAGGGACAGCAACATTTCAAAACACCCAGGCCAGCTCACACCCACTATCATCCTGTAGTCACAAGACGAAAGGTTTTAACAGCTCAACTCACCTTGGAATAAAAGACAAACTTAAGGATGGATCTGCTGGGGAGATTTGTCAGTAAGTGCTTGCTGCACAAGAGTGGGGGCCGAGTCTGGGTCCCCAGCACCCACCCACATCCAAGCTGGGCATGGTGGTGCCTGCTGCCTCTAAATCCAGTACTGGTGGCTGGACACAGCCAGTTTAGCTGAACTGACAACTGCGGTTGAGTGAGAGATCCAGTTTCAGAAGACCGAGGTGGAGGGTAGAGTGGGGTGTAGGACTCTGGTGTCCACACCCATATACATATACACACATGCACTGCACCTATGCACGTGTGCACACACCCACACAAATGTGTACATGCAACACAGAGACAGAGAGAATGGCACTGATGACAAGTCAGGAATAAAAGCTGTATTTTCAAAGTAATGAGTAGCTGGCAGTCTCACACTGAACCCAGTACTTCGCAGGCCTTTCCACATGCGGCCCATGGCCCATGAGAGCTCCATCACAGTCTTTGTGACAGAGGAACCAGTTTGCTCGACCGTGCTTCCCCACCTCAAGGGACAACCTGTTGTCTGACTTCACAGGGGAGCCCAAATGCAGGTCACTTGGGACAAGGAGCCCTTGACCTTCATGGTAACAGTCATGGTAGCCAGATTTTCCAGGCTAAGAAGAAACATGGCTCATCAAGAGAAGCACTCTGGGGGGCTAGAAAGATGCTGGGGGTGGGGTAAGAACATTTGCTCTGCAAGCATGAGGACCTGAATTCGAATCCTTGTCATCCACATGAGAAGCCAGCATGTCTGTGCATCTCTCTAACCACAGCATTCAGGAACAGAAAGTCAGGCACATCTTAGGAGCTCTCTGGTCAGCCAGCCTAGCAGAAGCAGTGAGCTTCCAGTTCAGCGACACCCCCCTGTCTCAAGGCAATGACATAGAGGAGGACACCTAACATCCATGTCTGGCTTCCGTGTGTGTGTGCATAGGTGCATGTAACACACACACACACACACACACACACACACACACACACACACACACACACACACACGGAAAAGTGTTCTGGGGACAGTAGGCAGAATGTTTGAAATGGAAACTGTCAGGAACATTTGCTCTTCCATGGTTGCTGTCACATGACTGAACATGGGACAGAAACCTCACACCACAGAGAACACTGGAGTTGCCAATCTGGCCGGCCGCTGGGGCAACCCACAATTGCTAGTGACTCTGACTGACTAATATGGGGAATGATAAACAGTGGAAAGAATAAACAGAAATGACCACACACCTCAGACAGAGCCTGAAGACAGCCTGTCCTCTACAAGATGACCCCTTCCCCTCACAAAGGACCACAGCCGCTACCTGTCAATCCCAGTGTGTGCTCAGGCTCCTTCCTGTACATGTTAGGTTCTAAAAACACCAGTCAGAATGAGTGAGAATGAGTACGCTGTTCTACAGACACGGAGAACTGAACTGAACTGGGGAGGGAAATAGTTTATAAAACTTTAACTTTCACTTATAAATTTTATTTCAGAAATTTAGATTAATGGAGTACTTGAAGTCTGAAAAGACCCTCATTAGAGTCTTATTTGTGCCAACTAAATGGAAAGGAATGGCTAGAGAATTTTGATTGATAATGAAACTATCACTCCAAAAACACGATACCAAGCTGGGCAGTGGTGGCGCACACCTTTAGTCCCAGCACTCGGGAGGCAGAGGCAGGTAGATCTCTGTGAGTTCAAGACCAGCCTGATCTACAAGAGCTAGTTCCAGGACAGCCTCCAAAGCCACAAAGAAACCCTGTCTGGAAAAACAAAAACAAAAACAAACCCACAATACCAGTGAAAACTCACACCTTCCCTTTAACATACCCGCCAATCTATAGTCAGTCTGTCTAATTATAATTCTGTTACAGTAGACTACATCAGTAGAGCATGAGACTCTTAATCTCAGGGTCGTGGGTTCGGGCCCCACATTGGGTGCCAACTGTTGATTATTGAGTGCTGCGTGCTGCGTGCGCTCAAAGATGATCCGTAGTCCATAAGGCTAAGATTTCTTTATTCAGATAAGCACCAGCCCAAACACAAGCCAGAGCATATCAGGGGCAGCAAGGCAGCCAGGCCAGAGAGAAGGGGCTAATAACGTGTGTGTGGTCCCTTAAGAATCGTTCCCGAGTCACCTTAGACCTACCCTGACCACGCCCTCATGGGCGTGTCCTGGCACACCTGTCAGGGCTACTAGGAGGCAGGGCTACAGTGTCTCCCTACAACACCTCTTCATGGAGATGGAACATTGCAGACCGGAGTGCCAGTTCACCCACTCACTTTCCTGTTTCCAGGATGTAGACCTAAGCACCAAGTAAACGGGAGAGGCAACATGGTCCTCACTCGATGTCAGAGAGCTTTGCTCTCCATTCAGTATAGATTAACTTCTTTCACATGTATTGTTAAGGAGGAAGCTTCACCCCAGTCCCTAGCATCCATATAATATACCCAAAGAGTCTGGGATGTTATGGTAAAAGCTTTGCCCCAGTAGCTGATATCCATATAACCAAAGAGTCTGGGATGTTATGGTGGAAATTCCACCTAAGCCCCCTCCCCCATCTCCCTCCAAACCCTGCTGCATCTCAGAAAGCGCACCAAATGATGACCTCTCCCCCAGAGATACTTAAGACCACTCCCACAGGGTATTTAAACTGCCTCTCCAGAAATTAGACTGGTGATTTTTCCGGTCTCCTTTTCCCATCTCCTCTTTGGGGGGTTGGAAGGCCACGCAGGAGTGCTATATCCATTAAACGTGGGCTTTTTCTAATTTGGTTTGATTTTGGTCTGATTTGGATTGCTGCAACAGCAAAGAGGCTTATTGGGGTCTAGAAACTTTTCATAAATAATCGAGACTAACTTACTTTTTTATTTTATCCATTATTCCACCTTCATTGTTCTTAATATCATGGACCATCTTTTGAAGCTGTCTGCAAAAAAAAAAATCACAAACATAAAATATTAACATCTAAGCTGATTTTTGCAATACAGTTTTTACCTTCATTAAAACAAAAGGCATTATTCCAATTTGAAGCACAACCTACCCCCAGGGCAACTTTGTCATTCCTAATAGGTATTCTAGAAATCACTACCAGAAATTGAATGGCTGGAGCTGGAGATGCCAGTCAGTAGTAAGACAGATGTTTTGGATATGCAATGCTTCATACCTATCAGTGGATAGAGAATTCTGAGAGTGGGAATGTAACTCAATAGTGGAGTACTTGCTTAGTGTGCTAAATGGCTGTATGTCAACTTGAAACAAGCTACAGACATCTGGGAAAAGGGAACCTCAGAAAATGTCCCCACCACATTGGCCTGTGGGCAAGCCTGGGGGGAGGTATTTTCTTGATTGATAATTGATGTGGGAGGACCCGACTCACGGTGGCAGGTCGTCCTGGGTGCTATAAGAAAACAGGCTAAGCAAGCCATGAGGAGCAAGCAGTAAGTAGCATTCCTCTGTGACTTCTGTTTGAGTTCCTGCCTCTAGGTTCTTGCCCTGACTTCCTTCATGATAGAGTGTGACCTATGACTATTTTAAATTAAAACATATGTCAAGGGAAAATAAACCAATTCAGAAAGTTTACGTATTATCTGATTCCAACTGTGTACATGACGCAATAGAAAAGGGGAACTCTGTAGAGATGGTAAAAGATCAATGGCATCCATAGGTGGGAAGAGGTGGACTAGGAAAGAAACATCTATAGGTTCTGTAATAGTAGATACATATAGTATATGTGACTGTACACATGATACTATGGAAGGTATTATGGAAACAACACTAAAAACGGCCCTCTTAATTCCATTCCCCACTAGTCACATTCCATGGAACAGCTGTCCAAGCTCTCATGGTTAAGGCATAGAAGCATTTAATTTATAAATTTGAGGCCAACTGTGACTTTATATTATATATGGTGCCCTCCAAATATATTCAATTTTTGAGTCAGTTGTAATTTTATTTCAATTGACACATAAAGGTTGAATATATTTATGGGGTCCATATATATATGTATATTGGGGTCATATATATATCTAGATTGCAGGGTTCACATTAGGCCAAATGTTACAGATCTCAAGTAGTTATCATTTATCTATGTTAACAAAAAAAAAATTTCCTTTTCCCCAGAATATCAGAACTTGCTTGTACTATGGAACTATAATTACTCACATTTAAGGGCTGGTCCCATGCCCAGCAGTAGATGGCCAACACAAAATGAACTCAATCATAATGCTTTGTCTGGGTAATTTTGTACCTTACAGGTCATTTGCTTATTTATTATCATTTCTTACTTTGTGTTTTATGAAATTTCTGTGTGTGCAAATGTGTGCGACTCTGTCCCTGTTTCTCGTGCTTTTCTTTGGTTCTTTTTGTTTGTTTTACCTATCCTGGTTTTTATTTTATTTTTTTTCTTCTTCCTCTTTTTTTAGATGCTTGTTTTCTGCAAGAGAGAAAGAAAGGGTGTGTGCCAATGGCCTTGTCATAGGAGCAGCAGATGGCAGTTGACTTCAGGGTGTCAGCCCACCAGGAGGCTAACCCCTGATGAATGAAACTCCAATAGACAAGGCCCTGAGACCACAGACTTCAGAATGTCTTTTGCTCCACTGTGCCTTTACATGCTTGCTGTTGCCATCTTTCTCTGGTATCTGGCATGGTGTGAATAGGTGTGGGGAGATCCCCACTGTCTGTAATGCAGTGTGTTTATCTCATGGAAACATCCCATCATACTGGGCATTTTTTACCTGTGGATTAGTATGAAGATGATTTCTTCCCAAGCTCTACTGTTTAATTGATAATAGTAATACTAGTTTAAATAGAGTTTTGATGATAAAAAATAAAACAAGGAAGTGTCACACAGCTAGAACAGATGAACTTCTATTGAAGATCCACACAGGCTATGGCTTAGGTTAATGTTTAAGAAAAACAATTGAGTCCCAGTAGCCCAGCTAGTTTAAATTTTAATCTTAATGTTGGGAGATGTGTTCACAGGTTTGGAGTGCATCATAGCTGAAACAAAGTTCTGAAAACAATTTAAAGTTAGACTAAGATGTTTTTGTTAAATAGCTTTGAGGTGAAAAGCCAAGAAGACAATCTAAAGTTTTAGAAGGGCACACAATTGAGTGAGGAGCTCTGTAAGGTCAGGGAACAAGAACAAAGCAGCCCAGTTATCATTAGCTGACGACATGCCTTTCTTGCTAGGATTAGTTGATGGTCAAAGGTGATCATTAATTTCTTGTACCCAGTTTTGCCCTCGACCTCCTGATATGAGAAACTATTGATGAGTGGGTATGCACCCTAAAGAGTTAAAGTAGAGCTGACTGTTTTTCATGTATAAAAGTTTAGGTTTGTGAGTCCCTTAAGATTCCCCATAAAATTCCTTTCAAGATAAATAATAAAGTGATTGACTTTCTTTGTAATCACAATATGCAGTCTGCCAGTAAAAGATGGCTGAGAAAAACACCCTCTACTTACTCACACTCTTTTAATCTGTAACAAGTTACTTGGATGTAAGTGTATGTGGCTTCTTGGGATGACTTTGTTTTAATCATATAAGGCAGATGAAAAATACGTTTTTACCTGAATCATAATAATCATTCACTTGGAAAATAGAATGTAATCACATTGTAATTCCTGTGTTGCCTGAAAGACTTTGTTGGGGTATGTAAGCTGTAGAGAAGAGAATACACTAGAAGAATAAAAGAAGGAAACCATCAAGAGAGTGTGTGAGTGTGGTGTGTGTTTTTTCCCTTACCCCCTCAGATAAAAATGTCACAGTACACTGACTTGGTGGATTTCCCTTTGAGCCTGCCTGCTGAAGGCTGGTCCCCCAGGCAGCAAAAGGTATGGATTTGGGTGGGTGGAGAGGATCTGAGAGAAGTGTGGGTGGGGAGATGATAATATATTGTATGGGGAAAGGAAACCTATTTTCAAGAAAAGGGGGGATAAAAAATTCTGTAATTTATCAGTTATCAATCCCCAGTTCCCCATCCCTTTTCCCCCACTTCCTTACCTGTCAGAAGCCAGCCTTGGCGACCCCCCATGCCTAGCTAGCCGCCAGCCAGTCTAGCATCCCACCCCTCAGGTTCCCGGACCTGGCTTGAGAAGCAACTAACACCTATTTCTTCCCCCACTTCCTTAACACAGGAGATTCCAGATACCTGCCTGAGAGCAATTAACATTCATTCCTCCCCCACCTCCTTTTTCTCTGCTTCCTCCTTTCTCTTTAAAAATCCCCTTGGTTTCAATAAAGTTGGCCTTGACAAGGAAATCTGCTTGGTCCCACTTTTTCTTTCCCGCCCATTATTTTCAGGTGGATCCACCTTGGACTCACGAATTACCGGAGCCCCTTGGGACGGGGCACTTACCCATCCCCTTATGTTTTTAACGACTGAATAGCATTCTACCATTTATGTGCATCACATTTTGTTTTTCTATTCATTGACTGTGGACTCCTGGGTTGTTTCCATTTCTTGGCTCCTGTGGCTAGTGCTATAGTAAACACAGAAATATAGCTGTCTCTTTGACATACTGACTTCCTTTCCTTCAATATGTCAAGTAGTGGGATTGCTGCATCATATGGTAGTTCTATTTTTTTCTTAATCTTGGGGGGTATATTCATACTGCTTTCCATTATACTAACTACTGAAGTATATTCCCACCATTCGTGTGTGAGCGCTCCCTTTCCTCCACACCCTTGTAATCCTCTGTCATTTGATAGTAGCCATTCCAAATGGAACAAAGCGATATCTCAAAGCCCAGCAAACAGAAAGTTCCCAGCCTTCTGTTTCAGTCAACAGCCTACCGCCCCATCTACCTTCAACATGCAACAAGAGCAGGAAGGGAGAGCTGTGGCTGCTGGTGGCCTGCCTTCTTCCTTTACCTCCACTCAGCAGGGATGGTTCCCACCTGCTGGGTCTTCCTGCACCTGGGCTCAGCTCAGTACACCAGCAGAGAGATTCCCACCTGCTGGGTGTCTCTGCACTTGGGCTCAGCAAGTACACCAGCAGGGATGGTTCCCATCTGGTGGGTGTCCCTGTACCTGGGCTCAGCACAGTACACCAGCAGGGATGGTTCCCACGTGCTGGGTAGCAGAGCAGCAACATCAACCCCACAAGCCACGGCACATCTCCATCCCACATCAACTTGCCTTCTCCAGTGAGTGCGTGGGCAATCAATCTCATTACAACTTCCCCATATAAGACAGGCTAAGTTAAAGAAGTGGCCTTAATTAGGCTTTCGTTAGAATCACGCAGAGTGTTCTTTAATCAATCTGATACATGGGCCTCACTCCAGACCACTGAACCCAGAGTCTTCGGTTCTCAAGTGTTTCCAGTGTGTAGCTGAGTCTGAGAACCTCAGACAGTGTTATCAGGGTAGGAGAGCTTTGTGCATACCCCCCACCCCCCAGCCCTAGGGATCTGGTCTGTGAAAGCATACCAGGGAGGACCATAGCCGATCTTCAGAAGATCCCTAGGTATTCGAGGGGAGACAAATTCTGGAAGGATGGTTTGTGGGGCACCAAGGTGAGGGGCCTTAGGGAAGGCAGCCATACTGAAGTGTGGCCAGTCACTAAACAGCAGTCCAAGAAAGCTCACATTTGACAAGATTCATGCCTGTTGTCTTTTATTAAATACAGAAGATGATACAAAAATGGGAGCATCTGCCACAAGCATATTTTTAAAAGCCTAGTCAAAAAATTTAAAGTTTTGTGTGTGTGTGTGTGTGTGTGTGTGTGTGTGTGTGTGTGTGTGTGTGTGTGCACAAGTTGCATGAATCCATGTCTGTGTGCCATATGAATGTCTTATGCCTACAGAGGCCTGAAGAGGGTGTTGGGTTCTCTGGAACTGGAGTTATGGATGACTGTGAACCACCAGGTGGGTGCTGGTAATGGAACCCATGTCTTCTGGAAGCGA